CAAAGTTTTCTTTGAAATACAACCTTATATTAAAAGTTACTTATGAGATTCCCCTTGTCAGCTATGTAACATGATAAAGGGAGAACAAGAAGAATTGGAAATGGGGAGAGAAAAAGCGAAAGCGAGAAGATATGCAATTAGAATAGAAATAGTCAGCGTAATATCACATGGCTGCGCGCACACGCCATGTCAAGTCTTGTCTTCCAGAGTTGCCGAGTGCGACTGACAGCTACCTCATCTTCCTGCCAGGCAAGAGATGAAAAGAGACTGATGTGACAACCATGCGGCACGGAAGCTCAGAGTTACAGAATACAGAAACTAATTCACAAAAATAATCCAATTTATATACTGAAATGATATAAAAGGACTCAGTTTCATAAGATTGTATCCTGTTTGTATTTATTTTAAGTCGTAGGATAAACAGTCACGCAAATTTATGTAAGAAACCGTATTATCTTTTTATATCTTATTATACAGTACATGTTTCGAATGTAAAAAGCAGCCAAGTGTATCTAATATGAAAGCACGCAGTTGGTAAGATCTTTCTGTGGCTCTACAGCCCTTGTGGACCTTGGTCGCTTTTCCAGTTTCTTAATCTATACATAATCGGTAGGACTCCTTGGACTGGGGATCAGCCCGTCGCAAGACCGCTACCTGCACACAGAATAAACGCACACAATAAGAATAAACAACAACAAACGCGGGTGAAGACGGTCCATACGGCCACTGTGATCGGCGATTTGTTAAAATACGGAAAAGTACAAAAATGTAGATAAACGTAAAAAGCAAAATTGTGCACTGTGCCAAGTAGACATATTTGGGAGCGGATGTACAGCTTCACTGTTCATGATCTCGGCACTAGATGAAGTTGAGTGGTCAGTTTCACGCCCCGACAGATTTACCCGCGAGGAAAGAGCCCCCGGTGCCTATTGAATAGAAGACTGGGTGGAACCCACACTAGGTCTGGATGTTGTGGAGTAGAGAAAAATCTCTTGCCTCTGCCGGGAAGCGAACCCGGGCTATTCAGATCATAGCCTGTCGCTATATTGACTGAGCTATCCCGTCTCTTAAGATGTACATAAAATAATAATGAATTATATATACACAAAAATATAGAATACTCGAATTTGTCCGTGGGAACACAACAAAATCGCAAAAACCGACAACTGACTCGATGATGTAAAGCATCACTTGAAGAATTTTAATCTTGTTTCACACTATAACTTTCGTTTTATATAGTCTAATTTATTGTACTTTTACGCCAAGTATTTTAATCTAATTAATATTATTGTATCCAATTTTATTAGTACTGCAGTTCAGTGGTCATGTACTCGTATTTGCCTGATTATGGCTTTTGGTAGCCGAAACATGTAGCAGAGCCAAACTTGGCACTGACGTTAATATTGTTGTGTTGTGACGGTTTTAATAAAGAAACTGAATAATGAATTAGGACGGCTCAGACTAATTTCAAGAGGACATGAGTAGTATTCTAAACATAAAAAAGATAAAGCATTCCTTGTAACAGGCCTTGGAGGCCCATAGGGTTTAAGAGGTCAATGCTCCCACATTCTGTAGACAATCGGTTCACAGATGGCGATGAGGTTGTCAGCCTTAAGCGCCGGCCTCCCTTTACCACCCAGTTACGTCATCCTTATGCGCTGGCCGTCCTTTACTGCCTCAGGAAGATTCCTGGTACTCATTTCTGTTACAGGCTGAGTCGACCCCATGGCCATAGAACGCCTGGGAGGACTAGGTCACTTGAAAAATCCAATGACCTCATCGAGAATCGAAACCTCGACCTTCCGACTTGTAGCACAGTGCCTCAACCAACTACGCTACCGCGTGCCCTCAATTATAAAAAGTGTCTTCCTTTTTTTATAATATTTTATTTGGACATAAAATTAAACCCTAACTTCATTATGTCTCATTTATCTTCTTTCTCACCTTCTTACTTTATTTTCTTGCTTTCTTTTTTTTTCGTTCTTTCTGGATGGTTCTTACTTTAGTTCATGTCTCTAAGTAGTAAACGTGGAAAATCTCTGTAATTCTCCTGCTGTCACGAAATACTATATTCTTTTCGCATTCTAAAGGAACCCTTCCTTATTCCAGGCTGTAACCCATCCATTACATTTTGTATATCCTACAAAGAATGTTACTTTTGGAAAATTACAAAAGTTTTCTTTGTATACGTATAGGAATAACCGTGTATGTATGTAGGTTCTAGTAGAATATGTGGGTTTCATTTATACACGTGCCACAACTTTACAAGGATTTACATTGCGTCTACTTCAAACCCTCCTTTTCAAGTCTTTTGAAAGGTCTTGCAACAATGTAAGTTATTTGAAACATTGTGAAGGCCCATAAACCAAATCCAACGTCATACTGCCTCGTATTCAGGAGACCCGGGATTTAAATCACAGTCCAGAGACCGGTTATTCTAACTGGTCTTTTGTGGTTTTCTTCAGACCCTCCAGGAAAATGTTGAGATAGTACCTAAAATTAAGCCACGGACGCTTATGCCACAGTCATGCAAAAATCATTAGTCATTAACCTTCCTATTATTCGACGTTATATGAGCCGGGATAGCTCAGTTGGTATAGCGACTGGCTACGGACTGGACGACCGAGGGGTCGGGTAAAAATTTTCTCTTCTCCACGTCGTCCAGACCGGCTCTGGGGCCCACCCAGCTTCCTATCCAACGGGTAAGGAGGGGGGTCTTTCCCCGGGGGTAAAGCGGCAAGGGCGTGAAGCTGACCACTCACGTCCAACTAGTGTCGAGGTCAAGAAAATATGGATCTATACATCCACTCCCATATACTCCTTCATGGCTTAGTGCTTAATTAGTTAAGCACAAGGACAACTTTACTTACTATTAGTACTCGACGTTATATAATCCGAGGCATTCCACGCGTTTTTTATAAAGAAATTAAATATTTGTGTTAATGAAATCAGAAAACTTATAATTTAGGGCTAAAGAGTAAATTATAACATATATCAGAAAATAATTGAGTATTATTCCCAGTGGGGAATATCCAGTGTCCTATCGAATGGGTCCCGCGGGCTCATTGCTCGACGATAAATCGATCAGAGCGTGAAGCTGAAAACTCACCTTCATCCAGTGCCGAGGTCAAGAATGTTGGAGCTATGCCTCCACCCATTTGTTTTCATGGCTTAGTACTTAATTAATTAAGCGCAAGGGCAACATAACATTTTCAGAATTGAGAACTGAGTTGGTTAACATATACTCGTACATCCAATGCAAATATTATAAATCTTAACACTTATATTTTCCGAGATTTTTACAGTTTCCTTTTTCATCACATTATTATTATTGAGGAGCTGCTTGAATGAAAAAGTAGCGGCTCCGGTCTAGAAATCCGAAATGAATGGGGGATTCGTTACGCTGACCACGTGACAGCCCTTATCCGATAAAGTTGGCACTAACTATGACGACAAACGGCGGTCGCTCGGTCGGTATAGTTCGCTTGCGGACTAAAGCCATGGAGTTTGTTCTATTTTTTAAACTTTTTATCATTATTATATTCCTTATATGCTTTATTACAATTTTTAATTGGCCTCTCTTTTGTTAAGTTTACACGTAAATAAATAAGGATTTAATTAAGCTAAATTATTACCTTCCACGGAACTGAAGGTACATCCACTGAGAATTCAGAGGGAAATCTAACCTGTTGTTATGGAAGTTTTCCTACTCTTAATTTCCTCTGCTTTTCCCCTTATTCCGTTCAAGTCCCGCGTGGTATCGACTTATACGTCGAGGCCGATATTATGCCGCGTTTCCCATGAATACAGAAAAGAATAAAGTTGTTCTTGTGCTTAATTAATTAAGAAGTACTCCACGAAGATATATGGGGGAGTGGACATATAGCTTCGCCATTTCTTGAACTCAGCACTACATGGAGGTGAGTTGCCAGCTTCTCGTCCAGACAGCTTTGACCCCGGAGAAATAACCCCCGTACCCATCGAACAGGAAACTGGGTGAGCTTCAGGGCCGATCTTGACAGTGTGGAGTAGAGAAATATTTCTTGCTCCTGCCGGGAATCAAACCCCGGCCGTCTAGCAAGTATCCCGTCGCTATACCGACTGGTCTACCCCGCCAAATAACATGCACAAATAGTCAGTCCTAAACCATCTACTTTATATAGCATACTACAATTCACATACCCATATCAGAGTATTGCCAGTACTCACACAATAGGCACGATACATTACAACAAATATCTGCTCTCTCGATCTTGGCCAACTGCATAACTTACATCTTGGTGCTTCACAATTCGTGGCAATTTTGACCCAAAAGTGCGTAATTTAAGAGCTCCCATTTTATCAATGCTTCATTATTATTGTCACGTGGTCGAGTGACTACAGACGGCGTTTGGGACGGTAATAGGATTTATTGGACACTTTAAAACACAACTCTCGAATAAACTTTGCAAATCACATTCAAACCAAGTTTCGTAGTCGCGTCCTCACTAGCCGTTGCTTGGTAGCGGCTTCCAATGGCGGACGCTCCCTTTCCTCTGAATTTAATTGCCGGCTTCAACTCACAACTGACTGGCTACTTACAGACTCTCTCTCGACTCACACGTAATGGCACCTGGTCTTCGCTAAAGAACCTTAACACTGACCGCACAAAAGAAGTCGCTTCCAATAGCTCTTCTCCTGTTGCGTGCGTGTCTGTTGCTGCCATCACGTGACGGCTACTGAGCCACCGCCTTACAACCGGAGTGTTTGTAGAGCCGTTCCCAAGCAACAGCTGTCTCTGCCGGGTTCACAATTTTAGCTTTCAGCAGACATGCTACATTACATAAAGGAGAAGGATATTAGGCAGGTGTCTGTTAAAGGGTTGCGATTTTGGTACATATTTATTGGTACTGTAGATTACAATGGTACCAAATTTACTCACCTGAATGAACTCCGAACTCCTGTCTCAGTAACATTCTTCTGCAAGCAGAACTAGCTCTCAGAGTTTTTCTTCCACTAGCAACATAGGCTGTACATAACAGAAAAAAGACGGTCCTTGCTTCGCGTGCCTAGATCATGTTCCACATCTCCAGAACAGCGCGTCTGATAAGAAACGCAAAAATGAAAAATTATGAATATGGAGACCAAAAAACTATCAAACACAAATAAAGCAGAATGGGGCCCAGAATGAGAAGGTGTGCTGACTATAATACGAACAATATTTGGACGAAAGAAGTAACAATACATAATACTTATTTTAGCAAAACCATTTCTTGAAAGAAAAGAAAAAGATGTTGCGGTTTGTAGAAAATACTTTAGGGTTAAATTGGCCACAAAATATCTCATAGCTCAAAATAATGGTATGATCTGTGAACAAAATAATTAAAGATACACTACATTAGCTATAATACCGTATATACTGTCAAAGCAAAGGAATGAAACCATTTGTATAATGAGTAGTGTCACCATTATACTCTGTCGAAAGCTTTCCGGAGGGTGAAATGATGGAGTCCAAATATTCTATGAACCAAATTACGCCATAACTTGAGCAGGCAACATGACAGAAGAAAAGCCCTATGTAAGTATGTCCGAAGGGGCACGCGATAGCTTAGTTCGATGAGACACTATGTAACAAGCCTGAAGTTCGCCAGTTCGATTACCGATGAGGTGATTGAAATTTTCAATTGACCTAATCCTTATATCCCCACTACGTCCCTGGCGTCGAGACTCAGTCTCTAACAGAAATTAGTACCAGGAATCTTCCTTGGGGGTAAAGGGCGGCCTGTACGTAAGGGTGACATCACAGCCACCTGTTAGCCGATTGTCTAGAAAATGTGGGAACCTCGACGTCTCACAACCCTATGAGCCTCCACGGCCTGTTACAGGGATAGCTTTACTGTTTTCAAGCGTGTCCCAATTTCCGACCGGCGCACAATACCGGCAGTGTGTTTAAAATGAAATCTAATAATTTTCTACTTCTGATATAACTTTCTAAGTGACTGAATGAAAATGACGCACCCTCGTCCGAATAGTTGATGGAGTATACATTGAATGGGTGAACTGACAGAGGAAGAACCTATTGCTGAATAAGGTCCCTTACGGTACACATAAGGATTAATATCTTTACATGTACGTTGCATAATACACCAACTTACAGTAAATAAAGTAATATATTTATATATTTAAATAATGTTGATGCTGATGATAAAGCAAGCTCGGAGATATGTTAAACAGAGTATATTATAAAATGTATTATGCATTGATGTTGTATTTAATATTACTATCATAAGAACAGTAAATTTGTTTTTATTATTAGCTGTTTAAATATTTTTTATTAATTATCGTTAATATAATATGGCTTCAGAGACCTGAATAACCAACACAAATTTACAGTTTCTATTTATTTTTGTCACATAAAATACACGTATAAAACAAGCATATTGCAACAAGATACACATTTCATTTCATAGAGAAACATTGATTCTCGTGCACACATCACCAGAACGTCAACTTTTTGATGGCACGCGCCTGCACTGCAGGGTAACTGCAACTATGAAAGTCAAGTTTAAATTCGCCCTTCTATAATATTCACATGGGGCACGCGGTAGTGCAGTTGGTTGAGGCACTATGCCACAACTCGGCAGGTTGCAGACTCGATTCCGGATGAGGTCACTGAATTTTTCAATTGGCCTAATCCTTCCAGCCGCATTATGGCCCTGGGGTCGACTCAGCCTCTAACAGAAATGAGTACCAGGAATCTTCCTGGGGGGGGGGGGTAAAGGGCGGTTGGCGCGTAAGGTTGATAACCTTACCGCTATCTCTGAGCCGATTGTCTAGAAAATATGAGAGCCTCGACGTCTCACAACCCAATGGGCCCTCATGGCCTATTACAGGGATAGTTTTACCTGTTATAATATTCTCTTACCACACTCAAATGGAATTACAAATTTTTCTGGTCAGTTAAAACTTTCGGCCATTTTCGTATAAGATCCTCTTACCTTAATATTTACTACTGTCATTTTAATATTTAAATAATAATTTCGAAGAACACTGAAATAATTAAACAAAATATATAATTCTGTAATGCATGTAAAAGAATTAGGCTATTGTTAGCTGTTCATGATGTGTATTTGTACCAACCGTCTTACAGTGCATACATTTTCACTTTTCTCTTCACTACATGTTTCGGCACTAATGTACCATCTTCAGGTGTGGTTTTATTTACGTCAAACCATTGCACTGTATGCCATCATAACACTATTGTTAGCTGCATGTTGGATATTGGCTGAAAATATATTTTCTCGTGATTCTCTCGTTTACACTTCAACTCATTTACATATTCTTTTCTTCACATCGTACACAATAAAATTGGTGTCATTGATCCTCTAAATAATCTTTACTCATGATAGAGAGTTATCAAATCATCAATATCTTCGTCAGTCGGTAGTGTTTTCTTGATCAGCCCGACTTGACAGGAGAAATATTCGAATCTTCTGGCTGATTGCGCGTTTACAAAAACCTTACAAATATTTAATTACATATAATTAAATTATTAATCAGAACGTTGCCTAGCAACGGGTTTACATGCCACAGTATGTTAAAGTGTGTGGCTCATATGGAACCACTGGGATACAAAGGGTTAAGAACGGCATCTTTTTGGGCGAGGGAGGGGGGTGGCAATATGGTCTGGTATGTTAGAGAATGGTAAGGAAGGATCTTAATACTGTACCTGTTTGTAACCAACTAAAGCGATATCCCTCTGGCAGAGGCTGAGGACGAGTCTACGTGGAAGGGCTCGGCGATGTCCATCGCCAAAGCGCCATAAGAATTCCATCTGATCCTACAGTCATTCCTGTTCTTTTTCGTTAGGTTCAGTTTCTTAACATACTTGTTCACATACTGTAACGTGTTTTGCCGATAGCCTAGCAACGCTGTTGGGAGTTGTTTATGGCTACGTAGCAACTGCGGCGTCCCGTGTTACGTAATGGGTACCGCTGTTTACTCGCTTTGCCTAGCAACCGCTGTTTACCCGCTTTGCATAGGGACCAGCGTGCTTGGACTTGGCTCACTTCGGCTCCGCTCGGCACGTCACCGCTGGCGGGGGGAGGGGGGGGGGGGTGTTGACATGCCTATTACCATAGCGCAACACGTCACACAACTTTCTGTTGGATTTGAGGTTCTGAGTGCGTTGTTTATCAAAAGTGCTATCTTCTGGGATGTATATAGCACCTGCAGTCTAGTAAAAGTTTACCGACGTTTCGAAGCAATCTACTAGAACAGTAAGTTACGCAACGAACAAAAAGAAAATAGCAAGGAGACATGGTGAAGATGGAGGCAGTATGTTCCTCCGAAACAATTGTGAACTTCTAACGGACTACACAGCGACACATAGGCAATATATTTTCCTTCTGTCGATGTTTCAGTTTCAATAATGACCACTCATTCATAAATATATTTCATTACAGTTTACCATCTCTTCAAGAGATGCACAGAACTTCCTTAGGAATAAAAAGTGAGCAGCTGAACCGTCCATTTCAATAATTAGAAGAACGGAACTTCGCAAAACATTTGTTAAGAGCCTTCGATGTATTCCTGTTGTATACCTTAACTGAGCAAAATTTATAACTAACCCTGTGACTGACCATCAATACATGAATATACAGTGAGCTTGGAAGTACTAAAGTTCCATACAAAATCTCAACCTCCATGCTAGATGGAGTTTTGAGTATGTAAAATTAAAACGCAAAAATGTCTTTGTACTCAAATAATTAAGCACTATGCCATGAAGATGTATGGAGAGTGGAGGTATGGGTCCATCATTCTTGACCTCGGCACTAGATGGGGGTGGGTCGTCAGCTTTAACACTGGGGATATCGCCCCCGGTAACCATTGGATAGGTAGACGATTGGGCCTCAGCCGGTCTCGATGTTTTGGAGAAGAGAAATATCTTGTATTACTGACAGATCTCGACACCTTTTATGGAAGTGAGTAGCTGTTCACAATCTCTGTCCACGATGAATGTTAAGTATTCATTGGATAGAAAGTTGGATGAGAAAAACATCGCAGTAAGAAGTGTAATTTCTTTTGACTTGTAATGTGGTGTAGTTCTGAGCTAGTCATACGCTTCGGAGGAACATATTGCCTCAATCTTCAGGGTCGAAGAGTAAGCCAACTACAAAACCAGCAGAAGCAGGTGACAGGAGCTGGGATAGCTCAATCGGTATAGCGACGGGCCAGGGGGTGGAAGGCCGGGGTTCGTTTCCCGGTAGAGGAAATAGAATTTTTTCTACTCCACAGCGTCAAGACAGGCTCTGGAGCCTACCTTGCCTCCTCTATAATGGGTACCGGGGACTCTTCTCTCGGAAGAAAAGCGGCCAGGGCGTGATGCTGACAACTCACGTCCAGCTAGGGTCGATGCTAAGAAGCGTGAAGCTATACCTCCACTTCCCCATTCGTGTTCTTGGCAGAGTGCTTAATTAATTAAGGAAAGGGACAGCTTTACCTTTAACTTCACCTCGGCACACTAAAATCCATATAAACCTTAAATTAGGAGATGTTCTCAAAATGTGCCCATATTATTTTCAATTTATAATCAATATTTTCACAGGTTTTATTTAACTTTAAAAACATGGCAAATACTGCAAACAGCACCATCTCTCGGCCTAACGTGGTGACTTTTCCGCTTAGTAAAAAAATATTTAAAAATCGTCGTGTTAATACGTATTAGTATTTTTTCCGGCTCTGCAAAGCACTTGCAGTGTCTAATCCAGCCATTAGACTACAGAGTTTGTCGACCCCTGTACTAATCCAATCAACAAATCTGTTAAATTGGATTTGATAATGATAAACTGTGAATTGAAAAGGATTTGAAACGAGACTGTCGTTTACGTATTATAACGACATTCACCTGGATTTAATGAGGACGCAAGGCGAAACCTAAGTCGAAATGTTCAGTTTGCCTGGCCTATACCAACCTGGATACAACTATGTTACTGCTATTCTAAACTTTTTTGTTGTTTGTTATTAATATGGCCGCCTGATATAGGAAGTGATATGAGCGAACTTAAGTGTCAGTGTTCTGATCCATGTGCAACGACCATTCCGACGTCTTGAGCGTCCGTGTTTTCTTCATCTCTCTCGTTTTCAATAATTCCAATCGCAAACAAATTATAATATTTATTACCGTTTCGTCAGCGGTTTCTTTGGACTCAACATCTTCAGAGGATCTTTCCGATAACGTGCGAAAACTTCGCTCTTGAAAGTTTCGAAGTGACGTCGATTCATGCTGTTCTGTCTCTCTCTCCATGAAGGACGACCCTTCTTGTTCTGTAGTCCCCAGTGACACGTGAAGATCGGAGACAGGACTTGGAATTGGTATCCAGCAACAAACATCTCGTACACCTGCCAACAGAAAACAATAGTCAACGCCGCGCATTTAGCACCTCAAATGTAACTTCTGTTCTCAAGACTAAGCAGCTCGGTCGGTAAGCGATGAGTTACCGACTCGACGACCGGGTTTCCATTTCTACCATGGTCAAGAGATTTTTCTCTACTTCATGGTGTCCAGACCGGTTCTGGGACCCATAATCCGTCCCGTTGATCGTCACTGTACCGCCTGAGGTATCTTGCCCCCCGCCAGTAAATATATATAGATAAATGTAAAGTTATCCCTGCAGCGGGCCGTGGAGGGCCATAGGCTTGTGAGACGTCGAGGCTCCCACATTTTCTAGAGAGTCGGCTCACAGATGGCTGTGTGGTTGTTAGCCTTATGCGCCGGCCGCCCTTTACCCCCAGGAAGATTCCTGGTACTCATTTCTGTTAAAGGCTGAGTCGACCTTAGGGCCACAGTGCGGTTGGAAGGATTAGGTCAACTAAAAATCCAGTGATCTCATCGGGAATGGAACCCGCCACCTTCCGGCTTGTAGTATAGTGCCTCCTATATATATATATAACTCCGTGGCCTACAGTCCGCAGGCGAACTATACGACCGAGCGACCACCGCTTTTCAACGAAGTTAGTACCAACTTTTGCGAATAGAGGGTGTCACGTGGTCAGCGCAACGAATCCCCACGGCCGTTAATCTCGGTTTTCTAGACTGGAGCCGCTTTTTCCTTGAAATAGCTCCTCAATTATCCTCACGAGGCTGAGTGGAACCCCTTCCAGACCCATTACTTCTCAGAAAATCTTGTAGCGCCGGGAATCGAACTCGGGGCCTCTGGATCTGTGGGCAGGAACTCTGGCCATTAGACCACAGAGGCGGTCTATATATACATAAACAAGTGAAAATTCCTGGTTCATGCCTGCGACATGGGACAATGGTTCCCCAATGACGTGGCGTAACGCACGTCGATGCGACCCTTTGAGAAGCTGTAGGGGCGGAATCAACATTACCAGAGGGTTGAATGTAAAATTAGTGGGCAGATTGGCGTGACACAGTGTTGGTGGTATTAATGACCGAACTGCTGTACTATTACGAGAGGGTGTCTATTAGCAATATCAATGCTCCGAGCCTCAGGCTTCCCTTTGTCTGAACAGACTTCATTTATGAAGCAATGTCTACTGCAGAACGGATCCAAGTACCATGAGACGCACTGCCGTCAAATTTAAAATATGTTGCAAGCCTAGCTCTCCGAAGCATAAGTTCCATCTAGTATCTTGGGGTGGGGTGAGACTGAGTCCACCTGGTACGTCGGCCACTAGTTGGCCTACTGCACCAGCCCCGGATGATAGACGACGCACGTGGAAGCAGTCGCAGCAGGAGAAACCTAAGTACTTGGAGCAAAACCTGCCCAGCGCCACTTTGTCCACCATAATTCTCATATGATTTGACCTGGGATAGAACCCGGGCCGCCACGGTGGGAATCCAGCGACTAACCGCCTGAGCTATGACGCGGCCCCACTAAGTTCAGTTCCTATCCTACATGAAGCACACTGCTTCTCCATTATGATGACCACGTACTTAATAATGTTTTCAGAAATAACTGTTCTTTATAATTAAAATCATACGAAATATATAAATACGGATACAACCATCTTGTCTGATTCGGACACCTTGTGACTTTGACAACAGAGGAACTGTTGGGAACGATGTTTTCTGTTCGGTCCGTGCAAAGTGATAATAAAAGAAGGGAGCTAGTAAATTTGTGTGCTCAGTTCAAAGTCTGGCTGCGAAGAGAAGACATTATGTGTGCTGTAGTTACAATGATATTTGGAGTGTGTAATTCAGTGGGACCCTTACAGTTCCTGTGTTAAAATCTCTTGCTAGGAAAAGGAGAGTGGAGACTGTAATAGACTGAGGACACTTGTGTAACAGTGAACTGTAAAGTGTGGAAATAACGATAGTGTTATAGTTACCTGTAGTTACGAGTTGAGTATGTAAGTGCAACAAATTCAATATTCCAATCCAAGCCACGTCAAAAGTCACACACCCCCAAATACGTGACCATATAGTGCTGAATGGTAGGATAATTAATGATTCATGAAGTAGCAAGGATAAGGAAGGAAGTGATCGTGGTCTAACCGAGGAGAAGTCTATTTATGCTATAAAACAAGGTAAGTCATATCTTGGACGCGCCATAGCTCAAGCGGTTAGTCGTTGGCTTCCCACCGCGGCGGCCCGGTTTCGATCCCGGGTCTGGTCAAGTGGGATTTGTGGTGGACAAAGTGGCGCTGGGACAGGTTTTCTCCGAGTACTTCAGTTTCCCCTGCCAATCTTCATTCCACCAATTGCTCCACAATCACCCTCACCTATCATCTGGGGCTGGTACAATAAGCCAGAAGTGGCCGCAGTACAAGGGACTTAGTCCCATCCCACTAGCAATAATAGGAATAATAATAATAATAATAATAATGTCATATCTTGAGTAGGCAGGAAAAGTGCTGCGTAAATATGATTGAATTTCCTATCGGTGTGAGAATAACAGAAGTAAGTTGATTACATAATCTAGTAAGTTCCTAATGATGATCTAACGATCTAACGATCTACGGTATTGACGATGACGCGCCCTCCATAGCAGATGGAGCACAGTAAACTAGTAGCCTCAGAAGACGGCGAAGATGGAGTGCACAATCTCGGCATTTGCTTGAGGGACTTAGGAAGACCACGAAACACATCAGTCACGATAGCCCGTGTCCAGAAGGAGATTCGAACCGATCACCTCCCTTATACGAGTCAACAGAGCTACCGCTATGCCATCCTACCCGGTGCATAACCGTGTTCTCTTGGGTTTTGTCGTAATGTCAACCGTTTCTGCTGCACAAAACAAAAAGGTGACCACAGTGAGCGAACTGGAGAATTACGATAGGAAGTTTTCATTTAAAGTGGGCTGAATCCAGGGGACCGTGGTAACACAGCCATCTCATTTCTAGGTCGGTCGTTTGTGTTTCGTCCAGTCAGGCCCTTGTACACAACGGACCGTTCCTAATCCTACATCCACGTACAGCGAGTTCCTGTGACTGACGCTGTGTGAAATTGGACGAGAATCCTCGACTTTTCTGCCCTCTGTACGGTTTTCATGTAACTAGAAAACTTTAGCGTGCCTACATACGTGCTGGAATATTTTTTGTAAAATCTTCTAACGCCCCGTNCTCCCCCCCCCCCCACAACAACAAAAATTTTGAATGAAGAAACAGTACTATTTAACTCCAGTACTTACACCCGCTCCCAGCATTACAAGTTTAATACCTTTTTAAAACACCTGTAAGTTAACATTATTTGTCAACTTTAACATCTCAAGCAGCCAAGCATGAGAATGATGCAAATATCACCCTCGAAACGTCGTGTTCACGTGAAAAAAAATAAAACTATCCTTGTAACAGGCCGTGGAGGCCCATAGGGTTGTGATACGTCGAGTCTCCCACATTTTCTAGACAATCGGCTCATAGATCGTGGTAAGGTCNTAGCCTCAATCCAGTAGCTCTTTCTAAGGGACCCAACTGAATAGGTGTTTTCCTTCACCTGAGGACGGAAACGGATCCAGTTTCCGAAACGTCGTGTTTTTATTTGTTATCTTAAAAACCAGGACGATGGATAAAGTCCAAAATCCCAACATATCAGTGTGAAAAAATGCACCTCATCAGGACTCGAACCCGCGACTTTCCGGCTTGTAGTATAGTGCCCTCCGTGTTCATGTGACTGACGGTTTAGTATTTGACTTGAAGGGAACACACAATTTGTTAGCTGTCATTCACATATGATTTACGGCTTAATGTACGGCGTGTATACATTCTTAAGGCAAGATCAAGTTTTTCCTGTATTTATTTTTTACTGCTATTGGGGTGAGACTAAGTCCCACATCTGGCCTATTGTACCAACCCCAGATGATAGGTGAGGGTGATTGTGGAGCAATTGGTGGAATGAGGATTGACGGGGGAAACCGAAGTACTCGGAGAAATCCTGCTCCAGCGCAACTTTGTCCACCACAAATCCCACTTGACCAGACCCGGGATCGAACCCTGGCCGCCGCGATGGGAAGCCTGCGACTAACTGCTTGAGCTATGGCGCGGCCCTTCCTGTATTTAACTAATTAAGCACCACGCCATGAAGTCGTACATATGGATGTACGAGTAGAGATCCACGTTTCCTTCATCTCTGCACTAGTTGGAAGAGAGTGGTCAGCTTCAAGCCCTGACCGCTTTACCCCAGGGGAAAGAGCCCCCGGTACCCATTGGATAGGAGGTTGGGTGGGCTCCAGAACCAGTCTGGACGACATGGAGAAGTAATTTCTTTTACCCTATCGGGACTTGAACTCCGACCCCTCGGTCACCCAGCCCGTAGCCAGTCGCTATACAAACTGGGCTATCCCAGCACCTGGGAGGGTGGAGACAAGCTTTATTATTATTATTATTATTATTATTTATTTTAACTGCAAATGGGTTTTTAGCCGGTGGCAGTGGTACTACAATAAGACACAACACACAAATAACACACATCACACAAACAAAACACAGCACACATAAAAATCTGCAAATATTACAGTTTTTACAGAATTTCACATGAAACCTATACTCCTGACAACTATGTCTGTCTTTAAAACGAAATATTTTACTAAATAAATTTATAGGCCGTCCCATAGCTCAAGCGGTTAGTCGCTGGCTTCCCACCGCGGCGGCCCGGGTTCGATCCCGAGTCTGGTCAAGTGGGATTTGTGGTGGAGAAAGTGGCGTTGGGGCGGGTTTTCTCTGAGTATTTCGGTTTCCCTGCCAATCTTCATTCCACTAAATTCTCCATTATCATAATCACCCGAGGCAGGCTACAATAGGCCAATCAGTGGCCGCCGTGCCGAGTGGACCCAGCTGGACTCCACCCCCCACTAAGCGAATTGAAGAAAATAAATTATTGTTACTTAATTCCTGAACTTATACTAAAACATTCTTATCACAATGTGCAAGCATCTGAATTC